ACCTAACCCTAAAAAAAAACCCCTAACAAAAGGCCCAAAAAATTTTTGTAAATTTCATATTAAAATAATTAAAATTTTCAGCATCAGCCATTTCCAGCTTCAGCCGCGACAATTATTTAATTAATTGTCGCATGACATAGTTGTAGTGCAAAACAATATGGGCTAGATGCTGAGAAAACAAAAAAAGAGATCTTCGAAAAATCAATTTTTATGTTTTAAATCTTATAATAAATCATAAGAAAATACAAACTTTTAAGAAGCTATATTGCAAAAATTTATTAGCACAACTACTTTTGTGTCTTAATTGATGATTCGCGAAAGAAAGAGAATATTTATTAATAAAAAGTGAGGTGATTTATTATAGATGTTGAAATCAGTATTCCTGATATATACAGGATTTTTTCTATCAAGTAAAGGTCTCTTGAAGCTTTAATAAAAGTTGTAGAGGAAGTTTTTCTGATTCTAATGGTGGCTAAATCATCAAAATTTGCTTGGTGGATCACGAGATATAGTCATCTTTATTCTCGCGACTATATAAAAATTTTCTTTGCAGATCTGCAAAGAAAATTATATAGCCGCGAAGATAAAGATGACTATATCTCGTGATCCACCAAGCCGATTTTGATGATTTAACCATCATTAGAATCAGAAAAACTGCCTCTACAACTTTTATTAAAGCTTCAAGAGCCCTTTACGTGATAGAAAAAATCCTGTATATATCAGGAATGCTGATTTCAACATCTATAATAAATCACCTCACTTTTTATTAATAAATATTCTCTTTCTTTCGTGAATCATCAATTAAGTAAAAAATGATCCTAATCTTATTTTAAATTGGTTTATATAAAAAAAACATCTTTTAAAAAAATTGTCAATTTCGTCCCTTTTCTTAGCAACTAGCCCATATATATATAGCCTTTATATACTGTAAATAATATTATGGCTAAAATGTGAAATTAAACTTATATCGTGACAATTAGTTAAATCATTTTTACATGGGTGGGTATGAGTAGCAAAAATGGGAGATACAAATAGTATTGCCCTAATTTTATTATTATGATACTAAAGTTTAAAATTAAAATTACAAAAATTTTGAAATGCTAAAATTTTTTAAACACCAAATATCAATTAGCTAACTAGAATGACAAATTTTAAAAACTTTTTTAATTTTACTAAAGAAATATTTATATAGTAATTTTTTTTAAAAAAAACACATTCTCGATTTTATCTGCATAACTGTACATAAACTATTCAAAAAAATTTAATAAATATAAAATATACACTAATGTGCAATAAATTCTCCTGCATTTCTGCAGCAAATAAAGGCAATTCTAAATCTAACGGAGCGGTGATCACCGTGCCAAGTATTGAAAGCAAATATACACATAACAACTACTATTTTATCCCTAAAAATGAGAAATCTGACTAAAATAACAAGGTAAAAAAAAATGCTATAATATAATTGATGATACATAAATGTAATTCTAATAATAATAATAATAAAATTATGATTTGTTTACAAAAGAATTTTATTTTAAAAATATTTGATTTAACATATATTGGTGATGGGTGAAATTTGCAAAACAATTCGCAAAATAAAAAAAAAAAAGAAAAAAAACCATTTCACCGTCAGTTCATCAAGAATCCGTAAGAACTGACATTAAGATCAACTAATACGTGCTAAAATTTTTTTCGTCGCAATTTATCAACTAAATAGTAATCAAGGGGAATCCATTATCATAATGTCAAGGGTATCAATATGACCAAAATGCTGTAACGCTGACACTGCTGAAGAAACACTTGATCTTGTGCCAGTGATACGGATTTGTGATAGTGCGAATTGTCTTGGATCAACATCAACACCTAAAGCACTGACAGTTGAAATGTTAGTTGTGGTATCAGCGGTAGCCGAACCTAATAGTTTGTTGCTTTCTTCTTCAGCAGCAGCAGCAGCTTGATCACGCAGAGCGGAATCTTCCATAATACGGATACGCCTTTCTTTTCGGTTGGCAACCCATTTCATGTAGTGATTACCACTAATAACTTCAAATTCTCTATATGATAACTTTAGATCAGACGTCCAAAAAAGAATTTGATTATTGTGCCTAACGTAGACCAAGCCAGTGAATACGTTGTCAGTCATCCAATTATGATCCTTACTGTATCTAATAAATAAATAAATATATATTAAACCGAATATTTATCAATAAATTGATTTTTAATAAAAATTTATAAACATATATTTACATGATAGGTGTGGTATTTTTTAATAGACACTCTTGACAACATCTAACCTGAAATTGCCAATAAACTTTGACCATTTTTTGAGAAGTACAATATTGGCAACGAGTCAACAAATTTGCAAATCTAATGTATTCTTCTTCGTACATTCCTTCAGGAGGTGGTAATTGGAGACCAGGTAAGAAACATATTCTTGAAGTACGCCAGATATCTTGTGTTATTAAAGACTCTGGAGAACACAAAAAGCCTCGAAACCTTTTACAAACACCAGTCAACGACAAAAGATCAGGTGGTGGTAAATGTTCACATATTTTGATGAAAATCTCAGGGGGAATAGTTATGGCAATAGGAACATTAGTAGATACGGATGCGTTAACGGTAATAGAAGTGAGAGAAGGGGATGATGAGGATTCTGCAACGCAAGTAGAGGACATTTTTTTAAAATCCTTAATCAAATCGAATTTGACCTTTTTGGACTTGGCATAAAAAAAATCGGGATAAGATACTATCGTTTTAACGAGACAAAGGATGAAAAGGTCACATCAGTATTTATGAACACTCTTCATATACAGGTTTTGAGAGAATTCCTTAAAAGAAATAGCATTAGAGTTTGAGAACGTATGAAATTGAACGCTTATGTTTTCAAACCCTAACGTAAACTTAAAGTAAAATCTACTTACTTTATAAAGGTGTGTAGCGCCCTGATGTTAGGCAGTTTGTCTGTCACAAAATATGTGTATTCATTACACCGTAACAACATAAATCCGAAGTATAAAAATTAGTTCGGTGAAAGGAACAATACCAATCGAAGGTGTGGGAATAACAATTACACAATTTATAGTTTTGTACTGTACTGTACGTACGTACGTACGTCGTGTATCAGTAGCCACAAGTAAGTAGGTTTGTCAGATTACGTTAACCATGTGACATAATCATAGTCTAAATCTATTGCTTCATAGCGAATAGGAGTGCATACATACTGTACATACATACCTGATACACCTGATACGTAAGTGCGTAACGAATTTGCTTAACTGTTAACTGTTAAGGACGTAACGATAAAAATGAAAATTTTAGATCAAAACTTTGTGATAAACACAGTTATAAATATAACTCTAAATAAAAGGTTATTGTAGAAAAAGGCTCATTATATCCAGAGTTGGTAAAAATCTGGAATGAAATAGATTTACAAATAAGTACGGATTCGACTCCGATCATAAACTATATCGACGTACTTTATGGGCTTCCCCGTAAAATACTTATCAGATTTTGTCTAGATACCTTTAATATTATACGTATAGTTATTGCATGCGAAGTATGAAAAACGGTTTTATTCAACGAATTTACTATTTCAGCTTATGAAATAATGGTACGTAGTTATTGATAGCATAAGTAGCACAATTAAGTGTATTTATGTATATAGTTAACAATATACCGATGATCGATTTTTTTATACAGTATAACAATAACATCTTTTATTTATTTTTTTTTAAAGGTTCTAATATTAATGCAATTAATGTTAATTTTGAAATTAGTTTAAATATTTTAGTTGCTTCTTTATGTTTTTTTTATATTTTTTATGGATTAATTTAAAATTAACCGGTGGTGAAAATTCACCGGCCTAAGAATTGTTAGGGTTAGGTTAGGGTTAGGGTTAG